ATGCCTTCTTCAGTACCCATAATGGTTGTATCACATTTTGACATGATACTGCTTTTATTATAGGTTTAGTGGTCCTTGAAGTGATCTGGCAGCTATATCAAGCTAAATGTACATATTGAGAATTTTCAGACTAATGGGGGACCTGATGGTGCAGTATTTGGTGACATCTGGTGGTTATCTTAATGATTCTTATATAAAATTCCAGTACACTAGCATGGTTATTTGGAATAACTACTCAGCTATAATGTGGGTCAGGTTAACCTACAGTTGGGTAAACATCATCAGCCAGGGAAATAACTGTGTAGGTAATACAGATTCTATCTCGAATATATCATTAGCCACTATACTATGCAACTTGAGATGTGCGGTGTGTGTTGAAACGTAAATACTTTAAGGATCTAAAATAATATGTTCTAAAGACTTTTTCTATGTTGTTAAAGTAGATGTAAAAAATGTAATGTGTATTAGAACATATATGTCCATTGTCACAAAATGCCTTCTTGTACTTTTCATTGTGAGATGTATGAAACTAAGCAGTACTAACTTATAGCTGAACTCAGGGGAAGTAATAAAAAAAATACCTCTGCAGTGGGGCTTCTCCTGTACTTCAAATGTTAGATGCCTGTTTTGTGTAGGGTACCATTAAAAAACACTTTGCTTACCTTTCTCCTCTCTGTTGCAAGCTCCTCTGCTCTGTGCAACCTGTCCTCTGAAGTAGCTTCCCTTTGGCACTCCACCCTCCACCCTAGGCAAAAAGGAGCTTTCAACCTTGCAGTGATGGGGGTGCCCCACTGAAAGAGTCGTTTTTTAGGTTTCATGGAGTTCAGCTTTATTAACCAAATTTGTAACATGATAGCATGCTCGGGAAAAAACATGCATTTTTATGATATATATATATATATATATATATATATATATATATATATATCAGATGTAATGGGCCACTTGGCCTTTTTTCTGCCATCATTTTTTTATTCTGGTACACATATTTGTCTATTTTCAGTACGGCAAGGTTTTTCTAGTAAATGCCCTTATTGTGCATTTTCCAAAGACCTGGACTGCTGTGAGGATCAAAGAGTACTTATCACTAATATTGAGCTGTTCTAACCTCTGTCCTCTTTAATTAAACCTATAGTACTGACAAACTCTTAGTCCCTTGCATTCCTGATTAAGAATTCATTCTGTTTTTAGAATTTTCAGAACACAAAATAACAGAATAGTTCAGAAGGAGGTCCATATAATAATAAAATAGTAATTAGTAGTAATAAGTGACAAAGAAGAGGTGATAGGAAATGGCACCTCGTCTTCTTATTACTGATCAGCTCTGACTACAATTACAATTAACAACTTGAGCTGTCCAGCTTACAAAATTCTGCATAACATCACCGTAGAAATTTCATAATAGTTTAGATCATATCCAAGTTTTGATTCTGATATTGTCAACAAACAAGTTATGGCTATCCATATACTAATGTGCATATGAAAATATGTACAGGCAGTAGACATGCTAGCTCTGACATAACGTTTTGTTCTTCTACAAAGATATTTTAATTACCTCACTTATGGGCTTTGCGGGAAATCTGGAAATGTGCCACCTAGTCAACCAAAAAAAAAAAGAGACTTTGCCATACACAGACAGATTTGTTTCTATTGGTTCTGGCAAAGGAATGCCTATATCAAATGATTAAAATCCTATAGTTTGGGTTGAAAAAAAAAATCAGTTTCAATCCCAGGAAATTAGTGCTTGGAAACCCTTTTATTTTCATTGTTAAAGACATAAGTGGGCCTTGGCCTGAAATCACACACTAAAACATTACATTCCGAGCTCAGTTTATCAGCAGATCCCTTTTGTTGGCCTTTTGCTTTCCTAGTACAATGCCCAGTGGCTAATGGCAGGTTTAATAACACAAACTTCCTAAAGGGTCTCACTGTGCCAGGCTTGCATATTGCCTGATGAATTTATACTGTACATATCAGCGCTTGATGATGCATTTACTTTGATTTTGATCCCTTCCCTGCTTGATGCTGCAATCCTATTCCTCTTATTGGCGTCTTAATTCAGGAGAGCATCAGAGTGCAGACAAACGCTTGTGGTGGAGTGAGAGGTTTTGAGAACTAGGAACAAATCATTTTGAACCTCAGCTGCAGGTGGTGAAGTAGGTAGATTACCATTTGTTTAGAGAACCATATGTAGAATTATTGAAACCCATATATGCTTTCAAAATCTAGCCAGTTTATCTATTTGTGTGTATCTACTGTGTATATATATACAGGGGTGGACTGACAACTCATGGGGCGCCCGGGCAATAGGGGATCATGGGGCCCCTGTGTCCTTGCCCAAACTCAAAAAAGCCTATGAAAAAGGTACCAGGGGCATCTCATGGGGCCGCCTACCGACCCTGGGCCCTCGGCAGTGCCCGAGTTTCCAAATGGTCAGTCCACCCCTGTATATATATATACAAACACACACACACACAGGCCTTGTAGCAAATTTCAAGGACAACAAAGTTTAACTAATGCCAGCGTTAAAAGGTTTGCCTGAACCATCCTAGAACAGCCTGCTTCACTTCATCATCAGTACTGAATGCTGACCTTCAATGAACTCTTTTAGGGGTCCAAACAGGAGGAAATCACTTGGAGCAAGCTCCTGGGCTGTAAGGAGGATGTGGCAATACCTCCCAGGTGAGTTGCTGTTATGTCCAAGTAGTGCGTTTGAGCAGTATGAGCTTGTGCGTTTTCCTAGAGAAACAAGATGCCCTTAATGATCAAATCAGGCCATTTTTTCCACAGACGCATATGAACATCACTCAGAACACAACGTAATATTCACTGTTGATATGAATGAATAATGCCACGTTTGTCCCAGAAAACACTTGCCATCACTTTACCTGCAGACGCAATAGTTTGAAATATTTTGAGTGCTGCCAAATCTGCATGCTTCCACTGCTTTGATGCTCATTTGATTCCGGAATGAATGTTCACAGGAATGACTGCTGTGAACTGGGAACCAGCAAGGCTGGGATTGTCACTGACGGACGTACAGCCATCTTTGAAATGTTTACACCATTCATATGTCTAACTGCGGCTGAAATGTCTCATCACCGTACTGTGGGTGAAGTCTTCTGCACATATTCACGGGTTTTACACCTTTGTATCGCTATCTTCTCGAAGGCCACTGAGTTTTTGGGTCCCCCCGTAAGCTCGGCACAACCAGACAAGATGCATTTTCCACACTTTCATCCAAAGTCAGTAAAACAGTCCTTGAGCTTGGTTTTTATTGTTTTATTAGGGGATTTAACATGGATGAGTTCTAGGGGTACAGTATATGGGATGCCCAATGGAACTGTACAACTTTGGAGGATAAACTTCTTAGTAGAAAAAGGACAAGATCAGCAGCACACAGCCTTTGCAAGGAGCACTTGGTCCCCTTAGTGAACCTCATCAGACCCCAGATAAAATCTCCTCATCACCTGGCTGTCTTGAGACTGTCCCTAAGCAAGGGATTCCAAGATGTAGAGATTAAGTAGTCTCAGGGATTTCTAGTTCGGTATTGCACCTGACTGTCGTCTCCCTTCTTTGACCCAGGGGGTGTAGAAATACTCACACTGTCCTGTTCCTGTAGCTTGATGGGTTGCAACTTCTTTCTGGCCTTTTTCTGGGCTGGCTCCTTCCCTGCTGACAGGCTGTCTTTCCTAGGTAGACTGTGAGACAATGGAGGTCCTTCTGTCCAGCTTCAGCCTGTAGGCAGGCCACCCTCCTCTGGGGCCCCCTCCCAGGCTCCACTCCAGCAGCACTTTCCTCACTCAATCTTCCACCCAACTCCAGCCACCCCCTGCTGATCAGGCTCTCTCATATTTAAGGGTTGTCCTAGCTGCCATACCAGGCCTCCTGCCTTGGGATTGGCCAAGTTCCCTCAAACATGTAAATCCAGGCCTCCTCCCCTCTTCTAGAAAGTGCCAGACATTTCTAGAAGGTTGAGAGGGTTACAGAATCCCTGACCTGGCCAAATCTGAAGTGACCTCACTGACTTACTCCCAGGCTGACTCATACCTAGGCTTCTAGCAAGCCTCTAACTAATCACAAAAATCCTACCTAAACTAGAGGGCACAACATTCATTCACAAGAAACTTCATCACTACACTCTGTTCCATGCACTCACTAATACTGTTGTCTGCCATCTTGATTAATTGTCTCTGGACTGGCCTGCAACATGTGCACCACCTCTCAGTAATAGGACACACTTGCCACTTACTACTGCATGTAGTACCACCACGCTAGCATCCCTTTTTATACCTGTAAAATTAAAAGTTTGATTTGAACAGCCCTCGTATATACACTATATTGCCAAAAGTATTGGGACACAAGCCTTTACACACACATGAAGTTTAATGGCATCCCAGTCTTAGTTCGTAGGGCTCAATATTGAGTTGGCCCACCCTTTGCAGCTATAACAGCTTAAACTCTTCTGGGAAGGCTTTCCACAAGGTTTAGGAATGTGACTATGGGAATGTTTGACCATTCTTCCAGAAGCACATTTGTGAGGTCAGGCACTGATGTCAGATGAGAAGGCCTGGTTCGCAATCCTCACTCTAATTCATCCCAAAGGTGTTCTATCGGGTTGAGGTCAGGACTCTGTGCAGGCCAGTCAAGTTTCTCCACCCCAGACGTGCTCATCCATGTCTTTAAGGAACTTGCTTTGTGCACTAGTGCGCAGTCATGTTGGAACAGGAAGGGGCCATCCCCAAACTGTTCCCACAAAGTTGGGAGCAAGAAATTCTCCAAAATGTCTTGGTATGCTATTGCCTTAAGAGTTCCCTTCACTGGAACTAAGGGGTCAAGCCCAACCCCTGAAAAACAACCCCACATCATAATCCCCCCTCCATCAAAACTTTACACTTGGCACAATGGAGTCAGGCAAAAGCCAAACCCAGACACGTCAATTAGATTGCCAGACAGAGAAAAGTGATTTGCCACTCCAGAGAGCACATCTCCACTGCTCTAGAGTCCAGTGGTGTCGTGCTTTTACACCACTGCATCCAACGTTTTGCATTGCACTTGGTGATGTAAGGCTTGGATACAGCTGCTCGGCCATGGAAACCTATTCCATGAAGCACTGTTGCTGTGCTAATCTGCAGGCCACATGAAGTTTGGAGGTAGTTAGCTATTGACTCTGCAGGCAGTTGGTGACATCTGCGCACTGTGCACTTCTGCTCTGTCATTTTACGTGGCCTACCACTTTGTGGCTGAGTTGCTGTTGTTCTCAGTTCCTCCCACTTTGTTATAATACCACTAACAGTTGACCATGGAATATTTAGTAGCAAGGAAAATTCACAGATGAACTTATTGCACAGGTGGCAACTTATCACTGTACCATGCTTGAATTCACTGAGCTCCTATTCTTTCACAAATGTTTCTGGAAGCAGTCTGCATACCTAGGTGCTTGATTTTATATACCTGTGGGCCATGGAGGTGACTGGAACACTTGAATCCAATGATTTGGAGGTGTGTCCCAATACGTTTGGCAATATACTGTAGTGAGGCATTGCTTGGCAGAGGATTGTGATTGTGGACAGTTTCTCACCTACACATAGTTGAAGGGCTACAGGGTTTGTGAATGCATTGGAGGAAAAAAACATTGTTGTTTTTTTGGTCCTGGAGCCCAAAGGCTTTGTAGAGTTTTGGGTAGAATAAAGCCTCCAAGTCTTTGTCCACATTTTGCTTGTTAGCCCGACATTGCTAATTAGTCAGTTGTCTTCAAGCCTTAGGCAGCCCATAGAGGATTTGATTATCTTTCCTTCCACTATGGGTGGAAGGAAAGAAAAATGCTCTATTGTCTCCATCAGCTGTATTGTGTTCCCTTCCTGGCTAAGAGAACACAATGATTACTGCTACAGTAGTCTCATGTAAAAAAAAATCAGACATGCTGGATTTACCCTAGTCAATTAATGGATCAGCCTGCCCATACATGGATCAAAATTTGGCCGGTTCAGCACCAGGTTTCGATTCATGTATGGCTGTCTTTACACATCTGAGCTGACATATACAAGAGACTCTTTTTAAACTGTCTCACCTGAGGGAGCTTGCTGCTGGGTGAAAAAGCTGACTATGGACAAAATGTAAAAATAGGTACAAACACTTCCTGTTTCTTTTTTTGGGGGGGAGGGGGAGGACCCATTAAAAAGCAGCCTTTTAGTATTATAATTATACAGTATTTATATAGAGCCAAAAGGTTTACTCAGCGCTGTACATTATAGTGGGGGACAGTACATGAGACAATACAGTAACAAAACAATACATGAGGGGTTCGAGAGCCCTGCTCTTTACAATCTAGGAGGGAGGGGATAGTGGTACAGGAGGAAGTGGCTGTGGGGGATGGAGTGGTAGGAGGAGTGGAGGAGATCGGCTGTTAGGTGAGAGTGGGGTAGGCTTCCCTGAAGAGATGGGTTTTCAGGGTGCGCCTAAAGGTGAGAAGGGTAGGTGACAGTCTGATGGATTGGGGTAGTGAGTTCCAGAGGATGGGGGAAAGTCCTGGAGAAGTCCTGCAGTTGGACATGGGAGGAGGAGACCAGGGAGTTAGAAAGTAGGAGGTCTTGTGAGGAGCGAAGAGTACAGGTTGAGTGGTATTTTGGTATCAGGTCGGTGAGGTTGTTTGGGGCAGCGTTATGAATGGCTTTGTATGTCTGTGTTAGTAATTTGAATTTAACACGTTGGGCAATCGGGAGCCAGTGGAGGGAATGACAGAGGGTGGTGGCAGAAGCGGATCGGTTAGTACAGTGGATGAGTCTGGCCGCTGAGTTCAGGATAGACTGAAGCGGGATAGTCTGTGATGACGTAAGCCGGTGAGGAGGGAGTTGCAGTAGTCTAGACGTGAGATAATAAGGGAGTAAACGAGTTGTTTAGTAGTGTCTGGGGTTAGGAACGTACGTATTTTGGAGATGTTGCGGAGGTGGAGCCTGCATGAGTTTGCCAGCGATTGGACATAGGGTTGGAAGGACAGATTTGAGTCTAGAGTGACACCTAGGACTTTGCTTGTGGGGTGGGACTGATAGTGGCGTTGTTGGTCGTGATGGAGAGGAAGGGGGGGGCGCGGGCTGGGGAGGAAAATAATAGTAAGGAACTTACATACATTTAGTTAGTGGCTTGTATAAGAATCCCATTCAGCCTTGCTGAAAAACGTGCAGTGCAGGTCTGTCTGGACCAGGGGCGGACGAACCATTTGGAAACTTGGGCACTGCCCAAGGGCCTGGGGTCAGTAGGGGACCCCATGAGATGCCCCTGGTACCTTTTTCATAGGCTTTTTTTGAGTTTGGGCAAGGACACAGGGGTCCCATGATCCCTTATTGCCCGGGGGCCCCATGAGTTGTCAATCCGCCCCTGGTCTGGACTGTTCCTGGGCACTCTTGTCCCATGCTTGGTTTACTGCTGCAGTTTCCAGGTAAGACTGTCCCCCTTACTCTATATACATTAAATATGCAGTATATAAGCAGTAAATACAGTATATATATATATGTGTGTGTGTGTGTGTGTATTAAATCTCACTTAGGAATTCAGTACATCTGTCTCCCTGAAAGTATGTGGGAGGCAAGCATGATTTAAAGACATGACCCCAAGGGATGAGATAGCTACATTACCCAAAATACACATTTCCGTGACTTTACAGCTCAAGTGTTCACGCACATGTTTGGGCTAACATAATATATGTTTGCAATTGTATTGTAGTTCTTTGTGGCACAACTAAATGAGGAAGTGTAATAAGAACATAAAATATTATGAGAGAGTCCCAGCTAGTTTTTATCTCCCAGCTTTATCTCTCTGTCTTGCGTTTTGATTTAGAAGCATATAACCCATATGGGTTGTAGTTATATTGGAAGATAAGGGAGGCATACACTGTATGTATGTATTGCTCATGCTGAATTCTTTCCATAATGGACTCTGTCAAAGCCTGTGTAAAAGTTTTCTTGTAATTATGATGCATAATTTTATATAACATTTTGTCTATCAGAGTTTGTGTTTTAACACCTTACAACATAAGTTGTATGTGCTAGTTTGTGGTGGTTGCTTAATAGTGCTGGACTATTATTTACATGTCTTGCAATTATATGTACAGTATATGATTAGTTCATTTGTACCATTTTCCTTACCCTTTTATTTAATCTCTTTTTTAAATTCTATAACACTCCTACTGAACAGCACAAATTATGGCACCATTGATCCAATTCCTCTGCAATCATGTGTGTAACTTCTAAGGCAACAGTGCAACCCTTTGTCAACACGTCACTACTTTTTTATGTTGGAGCATTGAAGGTACCTAGTTGTACTAGTATGGCTGTTTCCAGTATTACCCTCCTTTTGGCAGCATAATAACTTGGCACTTCTTTGTCAATAAGATAAGCAATGAAGGAAGAGTTGCAGCCCAGGCTTTCCATTCTCTTCCTTTGTTGCATTTATTTAGTTTTGCTTGCCACTGGCCAGTAAAGGCTTTTTTCAAATTTGCAGAAATTAGGCTCTTTTATGTATATGTTGGGCTTGCTAGGAACATGAAAATGAGGAGACAATTAACAACTATATGTTTATTTACATACACTTTTTTCTTCTTCGTAATTTTCATTTGCATTGGAAATTGGTGGTAGTGCCAAATCATCATCTACTTTCCTTTGGGCCTGCGGAGTCCCTGTATCCCAGGCTCCACACCGAACACAAGGAATCAACTACATCTTAACACTGACATAGAGCTTTACTGGCAAGTGGCAAAAGGGGTTTAGTTCTGGGATGAACATGGTTTATATCTGAGTCAGGCAGAAGTCAAGGCTCTATCAATGCTGTTTGGCATTGGATCTACAGTAGGACTCTTTAGACCCATGGAAAACTGGTGACAGACTAACAAACCTGGATGCAGATTGCTAGCATTTGCATTATTCTCACTTTCTAGATTGCAGTGGAGAATTGTCAAGCAGAAAATTATTGGTAATCATCTACATTAGGCAAGACAAATAAAAATTTTATTGAATATATATAAGCTTTAGGCTTGGTTAACACTACTGCGACATAGGATCCGACTTGCGAGACCCCAAGTCGGATGACATGTGAAATGTCATGTTTTGCTATGTCTTAGGTGATACTACACAAGTTGGTCCTGCTTTGGAAAAGGTTTGGTCCGACTGGTTTGGTCTGACTTTGATACCTATTTATTTCAGGTACTTATAAAGAGCTGTCTTTTTATGCAATGCTTTACATATATATTGTACATTCACATCAGTCCCTAATCTTCATGGAGCGTACAATCTAAGGTCCCTAACTCACATTCATCATATACCAGGGCCAATTAACCTACCAGCATGTCTTTGGGGTGTGGGAGTAAACCAGAGTATCTGGAGGAAACCACAATGGCACAGTGAGAAGATGCAGACTCCCGGCAGGTAGTGCTGTGGTTGGGATTCAAACCAACAACCCTAGTGATGCTAGGCGGAAGTGCTAACCACTTAGCCGCTGTGCTGTCCAATGATACAACTTCAATGCCACAGAGTGTAAAACATCACATCAAAGTCGTAGCAAAGTCGGACTCCAAAGTTGCACTGAAAGTTGCAAGACTTTGGAGTCAGGCTAGTGTGAACCAAGCCTAAATAATAATGGATATAAATGACTAAAAGCAAATGTATTTGTTGTGGCTATTTAGAGAATACAAAATTCCTCCATTCGTGACCCTTTTTGTTTGTTGTGTTAGCTTTCTTTAATGGCCTTAGATTGTAGTTCAGTTTGCTTGTCTGTTTGAAACAAGCCATAACATTGTCTTAACATTGATATTTTCTTTGCTTATTTACAAATTATTTTTAAAACTGTGATCAAAGTTTGCATAGTTGTTGGTATATTTGGCCTAAAAATATTGATAGAGCCAGTTACTATCTTGTTGTAAGGAATGCAGTCTAGAACAACATTTGCACAATTCTGTAAAAGGAAGAGAGCTCCAAGCTGTAGCAAACAGTCCAGACAAATATTGTTTGTCACAGTTATTGTTAAAGGTGGTCAACTTGTTTTGCTGTCACTGTGAAAAACATAATAAATCTGGACTGTCAACAACAGCTTGTAGCTCGCACTTTTGTTCTATTTTTTGCAACTTTTCTCCCAAATGCCATACCTGAGCCCTTTGGGTTTTAGAGAGCTGCCTCTGACCAAACTGCCATAATAAATTGGAATTGGAATACTCGCCCACTTGCCCACTCTCCTGCCATCACACCTTTTTTTTTTTTCACGACTGTACAAACTAGAAAGTTGATGATTACACTGCATTGTTTATTTTATCTATCCTTACCGAATTTTCTGAGACCATATACTTGTATGATTTACCCACATATTTGAAAGGCCAAATTTAACACATGTCTAGCCCTGTTGTCTGTCAAATCAAATGACTGTCTTCACTTGGTGGAAAACTGTCT